TTTTGAATAGGAAGACTTGAAATCATGAAGACGTCTAGTAATCCTAAATTAACTTGTAAACTTAACATAAACAGTCAAAATATCAACAAATCTTTTCTGGAGCTAGATAAGTGAATTTAATGTTCATATGAAAAAATAAAAATGCTGATTAAGGAGAGTAAGGAGGTGAGTTTGACTTTATTTGATACTAAAACATATTACAGATAAGATTAGGAGTTTGGGATCAATAGATACACATACTATATATAAAGCAGATAAACAACAAGGACCTACTATATAGCACAGGGAGCTATATTTCAATTTCTTGTAATGAGCTGTAATGGAAAAGAATCTGGAAAAAAATACATATATGTATTATATGTATAACTGAATCTCTTTGTTGTACATACACATGAAATTAACATTGTAAATCAACTACATTTCAATAAAAAATAAGAATTAAAACCAAAAAATATTATGAATCCTTTACAATTAAATAAAAGAGTATGGCAAAACAGACCAATGAAATAGAACAGAAAATCCAGAAATTGTCCCAAGTGATGTGGAAAGTTAATAAATACATGATATAGATGACATCTCTAGTGAATAGGAAAAGATAAACTCAACAACTGGGTACCCACTTGAAAAAATATAAAATCTGTACTCCAGGTTGTATACCAAGATAAAGTCTATATGCAACAGAAATCTAAGTGTAAAACATAAAATCTTATAAGTATTATAAAACATATGGGTGAATTCATTTATGAACTTGGAATGCAGAAAATGACTCAAAACAAAATCCAGAAGTAAAAAGAGTGACACATTCATCCACATAAATTTTTTCAAGCTAAAAAAAATCATTAAAAATCAAAAGATAAATGACAACTTGAGAAAATGTTATATTTTGGCTAATATCCCTAATATGTAAAAGTGGTACCTCTTTAAAAATATCTCATTAACCAGAAATCTCCATTCTTTGCTCATAGGGAAAAAAGGAACTTGATATGCTATTATTTTAAAATTTAATCTTTTCAGTTTTAAAAAGCATATTATTTTGAAATTAATTTTAGAGTTACAGAAATGCAAAAATAGTATAGAGTGTTCCTGTGTATCCCTCAACCACCTTCTCCTAATGGTCACATCTTATATAACCATAGTACAATGATCAGAATCAAGAAATTAACATTTATTTAAAACCATGAACTAAACTGTAGATCTGACTGATTTGCAGTGGCTTTTCCGCTGATCTCCCTTCTCTGTTCCAGGATCCAGTGCAGAATCAATCCTATGTTACATTTAGGTACAGTATCTTTTAAGTCCTCCAATCTGTGATAGTTCCTCAATCTTTCTGTCTTTCATGACCTTGATACTTGCGAAAAGCCCAGGTCAGTGATTTTGTAGAATGTCCCTCAGTTTGGGTTTGTCAGATGTTTTCTCATGCATAGCTGAGGTAATGCATTTTAGGCAAGAATACCATAGAAGTGATTTGTATTCTTCTCAGAGCATCACATCAGGGGGTACTTGATGTTGATACGTCTTGTTGCTGATGTTAACCTTGCTCTCTTGGTTAAGCTAGTGTCTGCCAGGTTTCCCCCATAAAAAGAAATTATTATTTTTCCCTTTGTAATTGGTAAATGTCTTGGGGAGATACTTCACTACTGTGCCAACATCCTATTTCTCCTCAAACGTTGCCCACTAATTTTAGCATCCATTGGTTGATCTTACTGGAAACAATGATTTACTGTAGTGTTTGTCAAATGCTGTTTCAGTGTTGTTTCTTAAATAGAGAATTCCAGGACAGTGAGCTTTTTGTTTGTTTGTTTTGTTTGGGCATGAGCAGCCATTTGGCCACGTTGAATTTGGAATTACTTAGACTTTTGCAACAATGAAGTGTTTTAGTCAATTAATTTAGCAAACGTTTATTAAATCCTTGTTATAACCAAAATATCTGTGAGAAATACGAAAAAGGCATAGTGATTCTGGTCTGCATCTAAGTCTTTTTCTCTTTCACTACTTTTCATCCCAAATTACTCTAACCACCATGATTTGTTCTGAGAAGATGTTATTGCAAGAGTGCTGAGAGACAGAGGCTCAGGAGTCAGAGGATGGGGACTAGCTTCTGGTTCTGCTCCATCCTAGTTATGTTCCAAAGGGTGGGTCAAATGACTTTTCCAAGTTCCAGTTTCCTTATTTTTGAAATGGGGATTATAATATGGATTGATGTGACAATTAAATGGGTGAATTTATAGAAAACTATTCATTCATTATTCAACAAATATTTATGGAGTCCTCAATAGGTGTAAGCTCCTTTTCGGTGGTGGAACACAGCAGTGAAAGGCCTCTGTCCTTATGGAGCTTGCATTTTAGAAGGAACAGACAGGCAATATACAGGTAAACAGACAGACATAATTTCAGATGGCAGTAAGTGCTACAAAGTAAATAAAACAGGATGTGGTAATAAAATGTGCTATAAAGAAAATAAAATCGGGTGATGTATTAGAGAATGATGGCTGGTTAGGTGGAATTAAACAATTTAAGCATTCTGGTCGGGGAAGGTTTCTCTGGAGATAATTTTTGAGTTAAGATTTTTAGGATTAGGGGCCAGCTGTGTCATGAACTGGAGGAGAGCAGCTATAAAGGCGCTATGAAAGGAAGAGGTTTCGTGTGTCAGAGAAGAGCAAAAAGGACTGTGTAGCTGGGAGGAGAGTGGTATAAGGTCAAGTCAGAAAGGTCAGCAGGGGCCAAGTTGTGTAGAGCCTTATAGGTCATGCAGAGGAGTTTAGATGATCAGTGCAGTTGGGAGCCCCTGAAGGGTTTTAAGAAGGAGAATTATATGCTATGATTTTTCACTTTTGAAAGATTGTTCTGGCTGCTGGGAGGAGAATGGGTTGAGGTGGTTGGTCATAGCAGAAGCAGAATGGCTACAGTGAGGACTGTTGCTGTGGTCCAGGCCAGAAGGAACGGTGGGCAGAGAGAAAGGTGGTGGTAGGAGGCATATCATCATAATTATTATTATTGTTTTGGGCCGAATTGCATTCCCCTAGAAGTCCTGGCTCTAATGCCTAGTACCTCAGAATATAATTATTTGAGACTAAGGTCTTTAAAGATATGATTAAATTAACATGAGTGCATCAGGGCCGGCCCTAATCTAATCTGGTTTGTGGCCTTGACTAGAAGAGAAAATTTGGACACACAGAGAGACACCAGAGATGCATTCATGCAGAGGAGAGACCATGTGACGACACAGCAAGAGGGTAGCCATGTGCAAGCCAAGGAGAGGGGCCTCAGAGGAAACTTAACCTGCCAGCACCTTGATCTTGGATTTGTAGCCTCCAGAAAATAAAACCTAGTCTGTGGTGTTTTGTTATGGCAGCCCTAGCAAGCTAGTTCAGTTATGATGATGATAATGATGGCGATGGTGATTTCTTCATAGTATTTATCACTGCCTGAAATTATCTCCTACGTGTGTGTGTGTGTGTGTGTGTGTGTGTGTGTACTTTCTCCCACCTGATTGTGAGTTCCATGGTCAGAGCAGAGACCTTGTCTGTCTAATTCATGACAGTAACTACACTGCTTAGGGCAGTGCCCGGGCCACAGCAAATGAAAAGTAAAGCTGTCATTAAATTACTTATTTATTATATCTCCTCTCTATGTAATATCCAACATTTTATAGAACCTTTTTCTCTATGATACACAGGAGATCCAGAGTTCCTCATTTGAAGGCTGCAAACTAGCACATGGGGATATATAAGAAATAATACTGTAACAAGTTAGAACCAAAAGGTTTTCAGAAAGCATATTTTAGCAGTATAAAAGTGATCCTCACTTGATTACAGGGACCTTTGGAAAAAGAGGCTCTCTTTTTTGAACGGAGTAGTTCTGTTGAATAAGATTAGCTATTATTTCAGCTTCATTTCCTGGCTTTTGCAAAAATAAGGTTAGTCTGTGAAAAATGCCTTCCACAAGGGCAGCGTCTTCATTTTGCTTTTTGTTGTACCTGGCACATAGTAGTGTTTAATACATATTTATTAAATAATCATTTTCAAATCCTGCTGTGTTCCTTCTTAGAAACTTTTGTACTGCTCTAAACCTTCTCTCATACACAGCCAAGTGTCACCTATTTCATAGAGGAGGTACAATGTTTTGCCTGTTATTCCCTCCATTAGAATTACCATTGTCCTGAACTTTGTGATCTTTTTGACCTTAGACTGCCCTTAGACTGAAGACTCACAACCCAGCTCAATGCTACTGGCTCCACCTTGTGTCAGGAACATGATACTGCATCCACTGAATTGCCAGCTTACCAAGAACCAGGCTGGTCCTGGCCAAATGTTTTAAGTGGTCCGATGGCTGCATACAAATTAAATGATGATGCCACTATTGGACAACTTTATTGTGACTCATTTGTTATGATATGATTTGCCTCCATGTCTACTACTCTGTATATGGTGCAGGTACAGAAACAAATTCTTAGTATTAGCCATAATACTCCTTTTGGAGTTAGTTTGTAGTCCTAACAACATAAGGGAAAATCTACTCTGACAAAAGAAATCTCTCTGCAGATTTTAAGGACTTTAAATCAAACAGTTGATTTTAATTTTCTCTGGAAGTACTACCAAAATTGAGGTGTTGGTAATTTTTAAAAAATCCCATGACGTTGATTTAAAAGGAAGAAAGAAATTTCCAAAGGAAAAAAGATTAAAAAATTTTTTTTCACTGAGGTTGTATTCGATTTCTGCTTTGTGTATGTATTATAACACTAAATGAGTTAGTCCTAAGCATGCTGCTTATATAGGAGATGCACCTGTCTAGAGATGCAGGGCAGAAGTCACTTGACCTGTCTGAATGAAGTCACTGGGGCTCACTGGATCAGTGGTGTGCTGGAGCGAAATCATGGTGACTTGTAGCAGCTCACAAGAGCTGATGGGCAAGTTTTCAGGAAATTTGCAAGCCACTATTAAACCTAATTTATATAAAAGTAAATTTTACAAACTTACAAGTAAATTATATTAAAAACAAATATGCTCGCTTGGGCAGCACTTATACTAAAATTGGAATGGTGCAGAGAAATTATGGCCCCTGCACAAGGGTGACACATGAACTCAGGTAACGTTCTATACTTTTTCAGGTGGTTCTGTATAAAATGCAAAATAAATATTTTTATTAATAGTGGAAAAATAACAAAGGTAATAAATACTGAAAACTTACCACTTTCTAAATTATTATGGTTTAGGCTTATTTATGCTCTGGAGATGATTTTTGTCCCCTGTATGATGAGTGTACCATGCGGTGATGGCGCATTTGTGCATCTCTTCCCAACTCTGCCTTGAGTAATGTTAGATTGGTGCCTTGAAATGGGCTGTGGTGGGGATATTTGCACAGTGGCTCCTCTGAGCTCTTCCTGGGTCACTGTGTCTTCCAGCCAGGACACTCTTCTTAACAGGAGCTCTTTGCTTCTTTGGTTTGATTTTACTCTACTTACAAGCTAGTAAGTTAGCCTGTTACTGTCTCATGGATGTTGGCACAGATGTGAGACTCCTGGGTCAGCAACAAAGGACCTTATTTAAATATGGTTAAAAATTTCTCAGAGTGGCTCAAGGGGGAATTATGTTGCTGACACAACACAATGTAATTCTAATATTCTCTTTAGGTGTATTTCTTCTCAGTCTGACTCATTGTGGCATCTATTCCCTAGAGAAGTCTTACCCAAAAGGAGTATTACACATACAGTTAAACATTTTCTAGTAACCATATTTTTAAAAAGTAAAAGATAAACAGGTAAAATTAATTTTAACAATGTTTTATTTAACCCAGTATATCTGAAATATTATGATTTCAACATGTAATCAATTTTAGAATTATTAATGAGATAGTTTATACTTTTTTCATACTAAGTTTTTGAAACCCATGTGTTTTTCACTTACAGCCCATTTCAATCTAGACTAGTCACATTTCCAGTGCTCCATAGCCAGATGGAGGTAGTGGCTGCTATATTGCACAGCAGAGGCCTGGAATTTCTCTTTTTTCCCCCATCTCACCTGAAATTTCTAACCTGCAAGGGCTTTCAGTCTCTTCCCCTCCTCCCTTTCTGACCTTCCCTTTGTTTCTGTGAGGTAAGGCAGTCTTTCTTCTTGTCCTTCTGAGCCTAGAGTTGAAGCTCTTCTCTGATTTGCATAACAGAAGGCCTGGAAGGTTACAGAGGAGAAAAATCTGTGAATACTTGCCAAATCATATTTTTTGTCCCTGCCTCATTAACTCTTTGTTCTAATGTATGCAATAGCCAGTCCAGTTACATTAACGTATTACTACATTGATGTTAGCCAGTTTCATGGGTCATATTCAGAGGCTTCTTGAAAGTATAATCTCCTAAAATGTTTTTAGTTTCTAGTAACAGCACCATGTTCAGATCCTGCCCCAGTGAGGGATATGGGCATGAAACGCAGTGCAGATGTGTAGACACTAAGGTGCTCGGGGAGGTATGAAATAGAACTGACATGAGGACATTACGTGTTTAGTTGGCCTTCAGATCAATCAGTGAACATTAAGAATTCTATCTGCCTTAGTTATGGACTTTAGGTTTTCCTCTTAAGTTGATACTCATCCTGCACTCTCCTTAAGTGAAGAACTTAAGAATCCTTATTTAAAATGATTTCTCAGTAAAATAGGGAGTAAATACAACACCACCAATAATATCTAGAATGGTGTAAAAAAAGTTAAATGTTCTATTTAAGTGAATATTTGTGAAATTAGCATTCAAAATATTACAAATTTTTAATCATTTTAAGTGGAAATATTTAATTATCTATTACCAATCCTTTTCTTAGTATCCAGAGAGTACTGAATATCATTTATACTTTTTTTAGGTTATTTGTTGAATTGAATTACATTACTAAGTTGCATTACATTACATATTTATTGAGTGGCTACTCCGCCAAGAGCTGTGCTTGGCAGAGATCATATTATTTGACCTTTAGAGTGCTTCCAGCCCAGTTCTGAGTATTTCAAGGAAGACACTGTTTTACCTACCAGGTAGGCTCATGCACACGGAGGTTAACCTGCCCAGTCTAGCAAGTTGGAGGGCTGGGATTTGAACCCTAGCAGTCTGACACTAGAAGTCCGACTTTTAGGTACTCTGCCACTAATGTAGACTCCATAAGCCTATAAGGTGGACTTTACCATCCACATTTTACAGATGTGGAAACTGAAAAACTCAGAAGAGTTAACTAGCACTTAAAATCAGTAAGTGGATGGCATTTCTTTTTCTTACTCCCCCTCCTTTCTTTTCCTTTTTTAGAACTTTTTGATTTTGGCCCAGGCAAGTCTTGCACTTGCCAGTCAGTGCAAACACTTCTTTCTTCTCTCTTTGGTTCACTTCTCTGCCTTTTCCTTTCCTCAGAAAGTATCTTCCATCCTCATGAGGCAATACTTATTGAGTGACTGTGTTTGCTATGCTGCACCTGCTCTGAAATAGTTTAGAGAAACATAGCATTTGCCTTTTCAGAGTTTATATTCTAAAACTATTGACTGCTTTTCTCCCCAGAGAGATCGGGACAATTATCAGGTCATTAGGATGCTGCCCTAGTGAAGGAGAGCTGCACGATCTGATTGCAGAGGTAAGTAGGGCTAAGAAAGTTTCATTCAGCAGACTCTTTGTGTAGCTCCAGCTTCTTGTAATTAAAAAAGAAATCCTTACCAAAAACAAAAAATGCCTTAAACTACTAAATGTGCCCAGTGAAGACATTAGGACAGCTATGTAAATTTGCCAGTCAACAGGATCTGCAAGGATTAATATCAGATCTTTAAGAAATGGCTGTGACCAAGTAATGTAGTAGATCAAGGAAGGACTTCACTTTAGATGTATAGTCTTTATAATTAGTTGAAGAAAGGCCAGTAGACACGGGACTGACTGACAAATAAGGATTTTTAAGTTCTTCACTTAAGGAGTCTGCAGGATGAGTATCAATTTAAGAAAATGCAGAAAGAGCATTGTGTAGAAAGAATATTGACAGATGAAAAGTAACTGATAGAACAGCTACATAAAATATCAGTAAAGTTATAAAGATATGAACCACACCATCAACTACTTTGACCTAACTGGTATTTGTAGAACACCACATCCAACAACCACAAAATACATGTTCTTTCCAAGTGTACATGGAATGTTCAGTAAGAGATTAAGTGCTGGGCTTTAAAACAAGTCTCAATAGATTTTTTAAAATTGAAATCATACAGGATATATTCTCTGATACAAAAAAAAGAATTAAATTAGAGATCAATTGAGAATAAGATCACTAGGAAATCTTCAAATACTTGAAATTAAGAAAATACTTCTAAATAATTCATGAACTGAAGAAGAAATCACAGGGGGAATCAGAAAATATTTTACCCTGAACGTTAATGAAGATACATGTGAAACTGTATGGAATGCAGGTAAAGCAGCATATAGAGAAAAATTTACTATTTTAAATGTTTATATTAGGAAAGGCAAAAGATCTAAAATTAATTACCTAAATTCTCATATTAAGAAGCTAGAAAAAGAAGAGCAACATAAACCCAATATAAATAGAAGGAAGAAAATTATAAAGAGCAGAAATCAGCGAAATAGAAAATGGACAGTAAAACCAAAATACTAAACCAAAATACTGGTCTAAAACCAAAATTCTGGTCTTTTCAAATATAAATGGTAAACTTCTAGCTAAGGAGATCAAGACAAATTACCAGTATCAAGATTAAGGGAGAGGTTATCATTATCCTTCAGACATTTTAAAAGGATAATAAAGAAACATTATGAACAATACTATGCCAATAAATCTGGCAACTTAGATGAAATGGATAAATTCCCCGAGAGAAAGAAACTACCAAAACTGACCCAGGAAAAACTAGAGAATTTGAGTAGCCCCATATCAATTATCAAAATTAAATCTATAATTTAAAAATTTCCCACAAAGAAAACTAGAGATTCATATGACTTTGCTGGTTAATTTTCTCAAACATTTATGGAAGAAGTAGTACCAGTTCTATACAAAAATCTTTCTGAAAATATAGGAAAGAACACTTTCCAAATAATTTTTTTTATTGAAGTATAGGTGATTTACAATGTTGTGTTAGTTTCTGGTGTACAGGAAAGTGATCCAGAATATATATATTCCTTTTCATTATAGTTTATTACAATATTTTGAATATTGGTCCCTGTGCTATACAATAGGACCTTGTTGTTTATCTATTTTATATATAGTAGTTTGTATCTGCTAATCCCAAACTTCTAATTTTTTTCTCCCCTACCCCTTTGGTAACCATAAATATGTTTTCAATGTCTGAATCTGTTTCTGTTTTGTAAAGAAGTTTATTTGTATCATTATTTTAGATTCCACATGTAAGTGATATCATGGTGATATTTGTCTTTCTCTGCCTGATTTCATTTAGTGTGATAATCTCTAGGTCCATCCATGGTGCTGCAAATGGCATTATTTCATTCTTTTTTATGGCTGAGTAGTATTCCATTGTATATATATACCACGATCATCTTTATCCAGTCATCTGTTGATGGACATTTAGGTTGCTTCAATGTCTTAGCTATTGTACATAGTGCTGCTATGAACATTGGGGTGCACATATCTTTTCAAATTGGAGTTTTCTCTGGATATATGTCCAGGAGTGGGATTGCTAGGTCATATGGTAACTCTTAATTTTTAGGTGTTGTTTTTTTTTTAACACCTTGATTGTGGTATAATTCCTGTACAGTAAACTATACATATCTCAGATGTACAATTTGATGAATTTTGATAGATGTCTATTTTTAGTTTTTTAAGGAATCTCCATGCTGATCTCCATAGTGGCTGCACCAGTTTATATTCCCACCAACAATATAGGAGTGTTCCCTTTTCTCCACAGCCTCTCCAGCATTTATTATTTGTAAACTTTTTGATCATGGCCATGGTATGAGGTGATACTTCACTGTAGTTTTAAGTTGCATTTCTCTAGTAATGAGTGATACTGAGCATCTTTTCATGTGCCTAATGTACATCTGTATGTCTTCATTGGAGAAATGTCTGTTTGAGTCTTCTGCCCATTTTTTGATTGGGTTGGTTTTTTTCGTTGTTGTTATTGAGTTGTATGAGCTGTTCGTATATTCTGAAAACTAAGCCCTTGTCAGTTGCATCATTTGCAAATATTTTCTCCCATTCCATAGGTTGTCTTTTCATTTTGTTTATAGTTTCCGTTGCTGGCAAAAGCTTATAAGTATAAGTATAAATTACAAGCCTTATAAGTCCCATTTTGTTTATTTTTGCCTTTTTTCTATTGTCTTTCTATTGTAGACTGACATCTAGAAAAACATTGCTACAATTCATGTCAGAGAATAGTTTCCCTGTGTTCTCTTCTAGATTTATAGTGTCCTGTCTTATGTTTAAGCCTTTAAGCCATTTTGAGTTTATTTTTGTGTATGGTGTGAAGGAGTGTTCTAACTTCATTGATTTACGTGCAGCTTTCCAGTTTTCCCAGCACCACTTGC